ACTGCAATTGTAAGAAATAATTGTAAGGGTAGAAGGGTTTAGGCTGGTTTGTCCGGGTGAGCAATACGCGGAAAAGTTGAGGAAAACGAGGGACGAGTGTACGAATGAGCAATACGTAAAACTAGTGAAAAATAAGGTGACTAGGGCTTGAGATTAGGCTGGCTATCGCAATAGCTCTGTGAAGGAAGTATACTCGAGCTGGAGCGATAGAGGAGTGAACGAAAAGTGTTTGGAACGAGAGCGTGAGAGTATCAGCCACAAAAAAATTTTGGCGGTTTGGAGAACGTCCGCGAAAGCGAACGAAACATGGGGAACGAGACGCGCGCGAGGCAGTCAGAAAGGAGAGTGATAGCGAAATAGTCAGACAGCGAGAGTTATATAGTTGTAAAAAGTTTAGTTGTTAGCGTAATATGGAGAGAATAGAGACATTGGTAATACTGACCATGACGATATATCTGAAGGTCATCGAAATTGGCGAGATACGCCTCTTTGTTTAATAATTACCGAGACTTTGTATTATTTTACCATATTATTATTATAATCCCAGTCTTGAATTTTAAACATATTCGTTATTGTTATAAACATTATTACTTGAAAGCTTGAGATTTTCTTATCGTTTCAGCCTCCACGTGGGAAGACGTTGAACACGACGAACTGAGGAATCGAGTAACGCTGAAACAGGCAAAATCGAGCGACAGCAGTCAGTGTTCTCTTACGCAGCACACATTTCACGTTCCACGCGCTTTTAGATAGCTTCGCTTTAAACAGTTGCTGAAAAAATTAGACGGAGAATTTACTAACCAAAATAACAACTGCACACGCGCTATGATTATACCAGTTATTACTACTAACAATCAAGATTCTGACTAATCCAATTATTTCACTGTATACTTGTGCAAGGAATATTGATCGAAATAAAATAATAATCACCTCATAAGACCCCATCTGTTCACATACGTATCCCGTGTAAGATAATTTCACGTGAATCGTTCTACATTCTGTATCTTACAGTCAGACTAATCCAACTCCATTGTTTTGGTTCAAAGTTCAGTTACACACATCGTCATACTACTTTTTCTTCATTTCGCTAGAACAGATATCTGTTCACGTTACGTAACAAATGAAAAGAGATTTAACTGTTTGAATTACTTCAAGTAGTACAATGTTTCATGCGTCGTAGATCGTTGACGGCTTCTCTGTTCTGTCGCGAATTTACAATACAGGATTTGGATCAGTCTAGCTCTCAGGTGTACAATTGTTCGTGGATCAAATATGTTTCACGGTCGACAAAGGCGGTAAGATCTCTCACGAGGAGCGAGGTCGATCCTGGAACGCCATTCACAATCGAGTTTCGTTCGTCGTCAGTAGAGGGACACCAGAATGCCAATTGCGCCGTGGCGAATCCTGTTGGGACAATCTCAAAACGAGCAATCCTACCCTACTGCGTGCATTTTTACCATTCAACGTTTACTACCTATCGAATTTCGATCGATTCCTTTACAGGTATACTTTACACGCTTAAGAGAATAAGCAACGGCGAAAAAGAAACCCGCAATTATTCCGATCCTCTGGATCCCACGGAGATGTAAGATATTTCATCCGTGGTATCAGGAATCGAACAAGATCTGTTTCCTCTAATTCGAGTCGATAGCATAGATTTCGTTTATACCGATAACCATTGTTGGCCTTATCGTTATCTTTGTTCTTTGCTCAAGTTAGATGGCGATGCGATCAAGAATGGCGGAATCCGGTGGCTGTGCAAAGAGGATTTAATAACGGAGAGAAAAAAGAGATTTCAAACGTTCTGGAGGATGAAATGAAAATTCATAAATTTACAAGGCGAAAATAACGAGTGGAAACGAAGGAGAATAAACGTTTCAAATGGAGCGCGAGGCTAGCCACAGAAGATGTCCACGCTCGTCGAATTTCTTTACGAAACGAACGAAGAATGTTTAGTTTCTCTTTTTCGTTTCCGAGTGAAAAGAGTCGTCGTTGACGCATGATAATCCACCAGCTTTGGACGATCCTTCTAACGAGTATGTCGACGAGTAGCCATTGAACTGACTGATAACAAGATCACTAGAACGATCTCGATTCGTGTATTTAACGAGGGAACGAACAATTTCTGTATTTCCGTCTATCGAATCAACAAATGTTTTGTCAGCGAAGAAAGAACTATACTCGAAAGTAGCTGTTTTATTCCATTCTATCTTAATTCTTACGCATCGAACACCGTTTTTCCGCGTTAAACATATGTGTTTAACGCTAATACTTGTATTAACCTCTTAAATTGCAACGAGTCAGACAGATTCGAGTCACATGGATTCTAGTCAAGGTACGATAGAAACAATTATATTAGTAATAAAAATTACTTTTAATTCCAACTTTTATATTCATTTGTGGTAATACTTCTTACCCTCCACCACCAGAGGGACAGATTAACGTTAATCTTTCTCGCTAGTTCTCGACAAGGCTCCTAGTACTATATATACAACTTCTAACCTGATTTTAATGGTCCCCCGCAACTAAGGCACGACTCTCCTAAATATGTGTGAAAAACAACCGGTAAATTTTCTTATTCTGCCCTCGTTCTGTCTCTATTTCTTCCTTCCATAACCAATCGCCTCGTGCATTTATAACTTCGAGTATTACCAAATGTGTAATTAATCTAAAATTAGCTTTTCTTACCCAACAGGTACCTACTAACCAATATAAACAGCTGACGGTTTCTCTTAGAGACTTAGAAAATCAGTGAAAAAATAATCATAAGTAGAAAAGGGTTAACAATGGAAACAAGGATGAATGATATGCTGGATAAGGGGAAATGCAATGAAATAAACGAGATGCTATCGAAAATAATTCTTTGGTTGAGGGAGACTATAGTCTGTTAAAAGGGGTTGATAGGAAATATTTCGAAGAATCAGGGAGTGTTGAGAGAAGAAGAAAGAAAGGAAGAGAGACAGGGGGGGGGGGGCATACGAACGTGTGTGCTCCCCCACGATGTTCGTGTATTGTCACGGACTGTGCTTTGTCAACCGCGGGAAGTAGAGACACATTAGGACGGTACTGTACATAGAAGCAGAACGAGGAACAAGGGATAGGAGGAGAGGAGGGGTGAGCAAAAACGAAAGGAATGTTTTCTACTTACGAGCCATATAAGTACGTTTGATGGGCCATCACGACGCCCCGTGTCCCTTCGTCGCGCTAACGAAAACACACGAGAGAGAGCGAGAGAGAGAAAGCTTTCGCCTTTGAAGATGGTCCCTCGGGGTCACTATATACTACTGTATCATCGCGTGTAAAGGTAAACAACTAATCCTCGCGAGGAATTCAGCTGACTTCGGGGTGAAAGAAAACCTTGAAACTGTGAATCCACGCCAATCTTCTGGCATATTCCATTTTTTCTGAAATCGGGGAAAACTCGTAAATTTCACGGAATATTCTTTACTATCAATTTCAGCGTCTGAGCTAAAAACCAGCCAGCATTCGATTCAGCTTGCGTTACTACGAGTTCAAAGAGCGACGAGACAAGCCTTGAGTATACACGAAGAAAAAGAGAGAGGGATGTAGAGAGAGAGAGAGAGAGAGAGGAAATGGGTGGACAACGGGTAGAGAAGCTGGTAGAAGAAGGAAGCGTAACGCGACGCAAGACCGCGTTCCATCCAGTTAGAGTTTGGCCTAGGTTGACCAAGCCACCTAGAGAGGCGAGATGTGTCGGGGTGGGAGGCTCCCCTGCTGATCAGGGGTGTCAGTTGGAGTGGAGGAACAGGGTGGACGAATAGGTGGGAACGCATGCGCTCGCTTTGGTCGGTAATACTGGCAGGGATGCTCGCGCGCGTGAGCAAGACTGAGAACCGTGAAAACCAACGGTGAACAGGGACGACGATACAACGAAAGACAGATAGACAGATAGATAGAGAGAGAAGGGAGGAAAAAGGGAGAGACAGGATGGTTGTCGAAGAGCGACGCGAGACTCGATAGAGATAAATCGAGTGCGTCGCGACGTTGCTTGAAAAAGGAGGGAGATCTCGTATAGAAGGGAGTGCAAGAGAGTGAGAGGGTGTGATAGTAGAGGGAGGCAGGGAGGTCTGCCGCGTCTAGGCAGCTCGAGACTTTACTCCCACCCAGCTCTCCTCTTCCTTGCTCGCTTTCTCTCTCTCCTCTTTCAGTGTTCGTTCGAACACGGTCCGGTACGGTTGCTGTCGCCCCCGTGCTCGAGGGATCCTCTTCGTGATGGGAGCTCGCTGCCGCGGTGGTAACGGCAGGCTCCCTCGGTAGCCGACTATCAATCCACTATCCTCCCCTCCCCGCTCCCTTCCGAGCTATCCGATGTCGCAGGCCTGGTCAGGGTGACACGCGCGCGGTTCCTCAACGCGGCTCCTCCCCCTCCCCCTCGTACGCGCTCAGACAATCGACACACGCACACATAAACACAACACACAAACACACGTAGAAAAAGACGACACGCGTGCAGGTTACACACATCGGTGATAAACATCGTTTCGTCCGGCCTCCCCCTCCCCCTCGTACGCGCTCAGACAATCGACACACGCACACATAAACACAACACACAACACACGTAGAAAAAGACGACACGCGTGCAGGTTACACACATCGGTGATAAACATCGTTTCGTCCGACACATTCGTTAGCGGGAATTCGACGCGAGGTTCGAGAAGCAAACACTGCTGGAGAGAAACGGGGGTGAAGTGCGTGGTGTCGCGGCAACAGAGATAGAGAGAGAGAGAGAGAAAAAAAGAGAGAGAGGATAAGGGAATAGTGAGGAATCGTGGCGAATGGGTAAACGGTGGTGCTGAAAGGACGATTCTGCGAAGAGGCGGCAGTTGTGTCGCAAGTGACCCGGCTAAACTCTCCCTAGTTCGAATCACGAGGATCTTCACGCAGAGGGTGTTCCTAGATCGAAACGATAAACATTTGGTGTGAATCGACGGGGTGAGAGTACTGTGTTTTTTTTTAGTTGGGAAACGAGGGAGGAAAAGATGTCGGCGAACTATTCGGCACGGTGCGAGCCTGGTCTGGTGGTGCCAGTATGGAGACCGCAGGAGAATCTCTATCTCTCGGAGGTGGTCTTCCGTGGTATCGTTTACTTCCTCTTGCTCCTCTATTTGTTCATCGGCGTGTCGATAATCAGCGATCGTTTCATGGCGGCGATCGAGGTGATCACGTCGAAAGAGAAGGAGCTGGTTGTCCGCCGAGAGGGCAAAGAGCCGCAAATCGTGATTGTGCGTGTGTGGAACGAAACGGTGGCGAACTTGACGCTGATGGCGCTGGGCAGCAGCGCGCCTGAGATCCTACTGTCGATCATCGAGATCTGGGCGAAGAACTTCCAAGCTGGAGAGTTAGGACCCGGTACCATAGTGGGCTCAGCTGCTTACAATCTATTCGTGATCATCTCGTTGTGCGTGTTCGTGATACCGAGAGGCGAGACGAGGAAGATCAAGCATCTCAGGGTATTCTTCGTCACGGCAACGTGGAGCATCTTCGCATACGTATGGCTCTACGTGATCCTCGAGGTGTCCAGTCCAGGTGTTTTAGAAGTTTGGGAGGGTATACTGACCTTCTCCTTCTTCCCAGCCACCGTGCTCACCGCTTACGTCGCCGACAGACGTTTGCTGATCTACAAGTATCTGCACAAAGGGTACAGAATGAACAAGAGAGGCGTGATCGTTCAGGCAGAGGCCGGTGACTCGGACGGCGGGGTGGAGCTTGAGATCAAGCCGCAGCAGGACAGCTTGCACAATATGATCGACGCGGACACGCCTGAAGCGAAGGAGTTCGAGCAGACTAGAAGGGATTACATCAACACGCTCAGAGAATTGAGAAAGAAGTATCCTACGTTGCCGTTGGAACAGCTCGAGGTGATGGCACACGAGGAGGTGCTTGGCAAAGGGCCGAAGAGCAGAGCTTTCTATCGTGTTCAGGCTACGAGGAAGATGGTAGGCGCGGGAAACTTGAGCAAGAAGATCAGCGAAAGGGCGCAGAGCGATTTGAGCGAGGTGAAGGCCGAACTGCAGAGACAGGAGGCCGAGAGCGTTGACATCGACAACGTGAACGCCATGAGGATCTTCTTCGAGCCTGGCCACTACACCGTTATGGAGAACGTCGGTACTTTCGAGGTGGGAGTGACCAGAGCTGGCGGTGATCTTAGTAAACCATGCTCCGTTGATTACTGCACCGAGGACGGCTCCGCCGAGGCTGGCTCCGACTACATCAGCGCGAAAGGCACGCTAACCTTCGATCCAGGGGAGACCAAGAAGACCATCAAGCTCTCGGTTATCGACGACGAGCTCTTCGAGGAGGACGAGCACTTCTACGTCAGGTGAGACGGTTCTTTCTATTTTACAATCCTCCCACGTAACTCGTCTCTTCAACATTTCGTTCGCACCTTCTCGTTCCTTCTTCCTCCCGACTTCGAGAACAAGCTCGCCCGATGTTGATTAAACAGTCGACCAGCGTTCGCTCGGGCAATAACCGTCCAGTTTTCTAAATCTGAACTTGGCGAGCGTGACTTGGCTGCGCCCGTTAACGCGGACCGATCGAAACAGTAGAAGATCTAACCTGTTCGATACGTTCTTTCGCCGATGTAATTCAGCCGGAGTAAAAAAAGGTTGGAAAATATATCGAGAAACCTGTTTCCCTATTTTCGAATTAAACGGTAGACGTCGAAGGCAGCTTCCGTACCGGAAGCGGAGAGGGGGCTGGTTGAACGAGCGGCAAAGATATTCAAGGGAAAAGATCAAGGACGCGTGGGGCTGCACGTACCCCAGGTTTATTGCCACGGTCAATAACCACGCGGAAACTTGAGCAAGTGAGCGTCCCACGGCGCACGCTAGCTGCCTATTAAGTCTAGGGACGAATGGAAATCGCGTTAAGCTTCCGGGATAATCGGAAAGATTTGTGCGCGTTGTTACAGGCGCCACGTGTCTGACCTAACAGAGCTCGTATCTAAGTATCGTATATTTGGAAATTCGAGAGTAAGAACACAGAGCTGTATTTCGGGATCGTTCGATCCTGTTAGAAATGCGAAGAGTGGAAGGGAAGCACGGAAATGGAAGATTAAAGGTGAGAAAGAACGGGGCGGTTTCGTTCGGCTCTGTGAAACACGTCAGACCTTGAAAAATCGCGTGGTAACCTGGTGCAAGAATAGAGGCAGAGAAACAGAATAGAGAAATATTAAAAAGGAAACGTTCCATTGCAACCGTGAAACATATCGGACCCTGAAAAACATTTTTCCTCTCCGTTCTGCCGGTGATGGAACTGGGTCGAGGTCGTGGAACAATATCCAACCGGAATGGAGATAAATAAAAAGAGCACGTTTGCACGTTGTTTCAACGATCATAGGGAGTAACGAGCTGAGAGATTGCGCCTAGGTACGTCCTTTTCTCGTCTCTTCGCGAGCGGAGACGAGTTCGAAACGATTCTAGACCTCGTTCGAGACACGCACAGGTATCGGAACTTCGACTAGCTCGCGTAACAATCGTTTCTCCTTCTTCTCCGCTCAAGCTGTCCGTCATTCTCCGAGTACGAAACTTGGGAGAGATGAATACGGGTTCGAATATGACACGGTTCTCGGTTGTTCTTAATTTTTGGAATATTAAACGAAATTTTGAACATTTTTAACCAGTCAGCTGTCGCACCTCTTTGGAAAGTGTGTACTTAAAATGTGTCGCCAAAAGTAAGCGAGGACGAGTGTACTCGTCAAACACAGAGTATGCCTGGCTGTTATAATATAGAATTAAGTTGTAACGAAGTGACTGTTTTATTTTTTAATTTTATTACTGACACGGCTTTTTGGTAACTGCCCTGAGGTGACGAATGTGTGAAAAACAGATTTGTTTGAAAATAAAACATAAAAATAAAAAATAAAAAAAAGGTAAAAAGCAGAGTAGCAGTAGTTGTTTAATACTCCCTCTGTCCCATAATAATAGTAGCAAGTGAATATTTAAACGAGAATTATTTGCGAATGCAGCTGTAAGTTATGTTGGAGCGCCAAATTGCGAAGCCTTCAATCAAAATCAATGTTCCATGACATCTGTCATTTGTTTTGACACATCTTTCAATTTTTAGGTTAACCTAATCATTACGAATTATAACTATTTTTCTAATTTCATCCGCTGATCGAAATGAATTGTTTTATTTCAGTTGAATTCTCAACCCATTGTAAAAGTAAGAGAGTTTTCAAGCAAAGATCGAGTTGCGATTGAGATCGATGGCTCCAATAATTTTAGGCTCACGCATATAGGGAAAGCAAAGCTTCGCAGCCAAGGGATCCTACCTACAAGTTTAAAATGCAGTAACGAAATTATTGAAAAATCCAGAAACTATCTGAACATTAAAAATAAAAATTAGTGTTTAATTTAATCTACTTTTTTGATAATAAATGTTGCGTTCTATATTTATTTTCTTTTGCTACTATGATTATGGGACGTTAATTTAATCTAGTTTTTTGATAATAAATGTTGCGTTCTATATTTATTTTCTTTTGCTACTATGATTATGGGACAAATTAAATTCATCAACTGCTACTGTTATTATGGGACAGATGGAGTATGTTTTAGTTTTCACTAAAATTGCAATTTAAACAGCAAATTGTAACTACTTTTTACGCATGACGAGTAACAGAAAATATTGCCATTTCTTCATTACGAGTATACTCGTCCAAAGCAGAAATTCGGATACGTTACATTGTTCGAGGAGCGTCAGGAAAATGAATCGAAAACATTGTTCACCGGAGAAATGAACGCAAACGAGATAGCTTGCTGCTAATTTCGAGTCGATGAAAAAGTATCGTCTTTTTGTCAATTTTTTCGTCGTTCGTTCGAAGTGACGCGAACTTCTTTCGATTAACGATTCGAGGAAAAAGCCAGCCGAACGACCCAGTTCCTCTTCGCGAAACAGGAAGCGGATTCGATTCGAGACACGCTCGAGGGCGTCTGCCGGCCGCGCTAATAAATTGATAATCGTCAGAGAGCGCATCTTTCAATTAACCGCGGGCCGGATGGCACGCGCGCGCGCAATTTCATTACAGCTTAAACTCCGCGCACAAAGGGAGTGTTCGCGGCTTCGTACTCCGTCACGCGATAATTACCCTCGAATCGACGACTAATCGACAACCTTTAACCGGTCTCTTAGAATAGACACGTGCCTGCGCCTTTTTGCCCCGAATTTTTCCACCGATCGTTTTACGTTCGTTCTTACCAACGCTGGAATCTCTGTAGAACAGAATTCGACGAAGGCTTGATGACCGACGATAAATTTTTAACCACTACCGCAAAATTTCTTATTTCGACCGGGGCGTTTTAAAATTCGGTTTGTCGAGTTAAAGTGCGTAAAGAACTCCAACGGTACAGTGTGAGCAAATTTTTGAAACGCCTGTATACATCGTTCAAAATAAGAGTAACCTCGTTTCGCGCATGGGAATAGAACGTCCAAACCCCCACTTAACCGCCTACGTTTTTCTCCGTCTTATGTCTACGCGCAGAACGGACGAGAATCGGTCCGAGAGCGAGGTTACTCTTATTTTGAACGATGTATAGTAATGGTTTTCGAACGCCTATAGGCGCCGATAGTAATGATACAGTTAACACCGTGTATTGTAAGAGGGGGTTAAATAAAGTCTAACGTGACACTACGTTGTCAGGATATTTATTTGGCTGCACGTTCTTACAGACTTCGCGATGTTTCAGTCTCAATCACTCAATGTCCAATCTCCTTTCGTGCGCTAGGTCTTTCCCTTACAAAGGGAAAGCGCGCCCCAGTCTCCTTTTGGGGAACACCTCACTGTTGCCGGTTCTGCGGGGCCTGGCGATCGTCAGGCTAGAAAGGGGGTGAGAACGGTCGGGTTTTTCCCGCTTTCGGTCCCGACCTTCGCCGAGTCATACGGGCATCAAACGTGGGGGACTTAGCCTTGGGTGACGGTGGCCCTTACACGGCTCTGGCCATCGTCACCGTACAATGACCCTGTCGCCCCATTGTCTCCCGCATGCTCTTACAGTATGTTAACCCTTTCACTGGCATTGGTGTTTTGAAAATTTGCTCGCACTGTGGAGCCTCTTGGCGCACTTCCATATTACCTCAAGCCATAATTTCACCATCTTCCACCTTAATTCAATAAAACAAATTTTAAAACGACACTGCTAAAAGGAAAGATTTCGCGAACGTTGTGGAACACTTGAATCAGCCACGCGCGTTATGTATAAAAACTACCGCAGCGAAAGGGTTAAATAAAAGTCTGGCAAATAACGCACAGCCCTTAATGCGGTTAATCGGTATTGCCGCTTAATGCTTCAATTTACGGCCTCGGTATGTATCGCTAAGCTCCAGGCCTCGGCAGTAAACTGCGGGAACACTATGTGGGTGGATCTGCAAGAACGTAACTCTGTCTCCTTCGAAATTAATCATTTTCTTCCTTGAGGAGATAAAATTCCGAAATAAGAGGTTCCAGGTTCTAGACAGAACGCACAACTTCGCTTCTTCCTCTTTTTCCGCGTCCGTCCTGCCAAACGCCTCAGACGTCCACCATTTTGGAGAATGTACCGGAGGAGAGTATCAGGGAGGGGACAGTTGGGTGGAGTTCGATAAGAAAAGCCGTTTAATTTGGAGCATCGCGGTGGTCGTAGGGAGGTCCAAGATCGTTAACGAGGCCCTCGTGTCCCTCCTTGCGAAAACTCGGGCTTATCTAACGAGGGCCGCAAGAACATGGCGACTGGAACACGGGGAACGGTGCTCCGGAGATACTCGAGACAAGTGGCAGCTACTCGGATTAAGAGCGACGAAATTGCTCCCTTCTGGACTATCTCCGTCGCGTCCCGTTTTAAGTAGAGCGGATGCATTCGCGGATCTCTTTTGATCCGTCGACCGTCCTCCTCCTTCCGAACATTCACGCGGGAAACTGTCTGCCGGAGTTCCTCGAAACGCCGAATCGAGCCTCCCTAATTTACCCGAGTGACGGGGAAAAGAAACGTCGATTGTTTCTCACCGTCGATTTTCTAACGAAGCGACTTGGTAACCGAATTATCTCCGTTCGATCGTTAGCTTCTCACGCTGTATTTCAAATTAGTTCAGCAGTGTTCCTCGAAGTTATCGCACTCTGTGTAAGCAAGCTTCGTTCAGCTCGATTGCGTTCGATTTTTCTAAGACGAAAGTTTCAAGGAATCCTCGGGTCTCTGTTTCTAACTTTACGGACAATCTCGACGGATCTTGGGACACGCGCGAGAAAAATGGCGCGAGTTTAGCTCCTTCGTGTCGCTGTCCAGCGAGATGGCCGGATTTCGATAACAGAAAAATGACGTTGCCTTCTTTTCCTTTTTTTTTTTTACGATCGCTACGACGAAGGAGAGGAGAGAGTAATTATTCTACGAAGGAACTCGTTCGCCGTAACGACACTTGCTCGTATTAATTGTTCATAATTTTGGAATGAAACGTCCTCTCCATCGTCGCTCGGGCAAAGAATTAAGTATCGGGACACCCTCGTTAAGTATTTTATAATTTAACCCGTTGTTTTGCGCAGGGTAGCTCGTAAGACAGTTTACCGTTTCATAACTGGATAATTTTTATTCCAAAATCTGAAAGAAAAACTTGAGAAACTCTAATGGGAAAGAAGTTATTCAATTTTTAAATGACGAAGCAATTTATGGATCACCCTGTAGTATCGTGTCACACTCGCGGTGTAGATTAGTAACAATAGGACAACCAGCCGAATCAAAATGACCCATTAGCGCCTTTCCAAAAGTGAATTTTTGTGTAAGTAAATCGCGATTGGAAAATTCGATTCATATCGATACAAACAGAAGCATACATTCGGAAAGTTGCAAACGATAGTACTTACCAGTATTGAACATTCACGTTTTTTTAAAAGATACTAATGGGTCATTTTGACCCGGTCGGTAGTTCTAATGTTAAATGTGATTAGCGAAGTAATAAGTGGCACTGAGAAAAACAGCCATTGAAAAATCGTAAAAATCGTAAATTACACTTTTTTATTAAATTTGATACCCGAGGAACTGTTTATTCCACGAGATTCCAATAATTTTTGGAATTTTTGGAGAGTCGAATAATTTTTCATCCGAGATTACGAAGAATTGTTTATTCGACGAGATTTTTTTTATCAAATTTCGTATCCGAGGAACTGTTTATTCCGCGAGATTCCAGGTGGAATAATTTCTCACCTAAGATCACAATAACTGTTCACATTTCGTTCACGTTCGTTAAGCGTGGTAATACTTACGAACGGGAGTGCAGGTCGAGGGGTGGGGCATCCGTTATTTCGAGTTACGCTTATCCGGCTGATTCGATCGGAAGTTTCCTCGCAGGAAGAAAAGCAATTATCTTGGCTGAGCTGGTTTGATCAGCGTAGGCGTTTCATTTTCACCGTTCAAACCACTCCTCTCACCCAACTATTTCTCCAACTTTCGTAAACAAATACGAGAATCACGCGTTCCTGTTTACTCGCGTTAGACGGGGGAGGGCGGCGAGTTCGCGTATGTTTTCCTGCTTTTTACGCAACTGTTCCGCCCCCCGAATCGGATTGTAAAGAGGGGGAGAGACAAGGAAGAAAGGAAAAAAAGAGGAATTGTTTGTTTCGCAGACTGAGCAACGCGTCGCAGCCAGCTATGCTCGTGTCACCGAGCCTAGCGACCGTGATGATCCTCGACGACGATCACAGCGGCGTGTTCGGCTTCCCTGAAAGGGACATCGAGCTTGTGGAGAGCGTAGGACAGCATCCTCTGCGTGTGGTGAGATACAGCGGCGCCAGGGGACGAGTGGTCATCCCCTATCGCACCATCGAGGGCACCGCCAAGCCTGGCAAGCAGTATCAGCACATCGAGGGCTCGCTCACCTTCGAGGACAATCAGACAGAGTGAGTACGATAGATATGGAAATACTCCAAGTACAATTCTTAACGCATTCACGTCGGGACGTTTGAAGCTGGGGTGAACATTTTTTTTTCAATCAGGATGATATGATTGTATTATATTGTGCTTTGTTATTTTCTTTTTAATTGAAAATAATGTCCAGTTGGTTATGGTGTTCGAAATTTTTACTCGACGATGCTTATTTTATTTTCATTATTGTAAACGTTTGTGGCAGTCAACGTGTTAAAGGAATTGAAACAATTGTACACATTTTACGAAAAAGTGATTTACCACTTTCCTCGAAATTTCTTTGAAAAGTATTAACACGTTCACTGTGACCGGAGATTGTTTCCTCGATGGGTGGTCGTCAGTGGCCGAAAGGCCTCAAATGTGTAGAATAATTCAAACGAAATGAATGATATCGTCGACTGAAAATTTCGAACGTCATAGCTAACTAGACATTATTTCGAATTAAAAAAAAATAATAACAATATAATACTATGCTTAGAATAATGAAAATTTTCTTTTGGCCCCTGAGCAAAACATGGAAATCTGGCGTAGCAATCAACGTAGTAATTGTCGAACCATTTTTATGAATCTATTCCGAGACACTTGTGTGAAAATCTCAACAACGTACTTCCTCGTCATCCGGACTCGAGTGAAAAATCTGAATAACGCATATGTACTTACGTCATCCGAAGTTAACGCTCTAGAGTTTCCTCTTTCTCGAAGTTGACGAACATTCGACGAGCTAACTATCAACCCTCGACGTACGAGTTGTTGAATCCGGTGACCGGGTCTTTTCTGACCCTTGCCACCAGTAGATACGCGTACAGAGCTTCCGCGAAGAACGCGGTTTCGACTGCACCCGGATACTTTCTTGAAAAATTTCGACGTTCGAGTCAATTTACACTTTTCTTTATCACGGCGAACAAGAAAGAACGAAAGTGTACAACGAACAGCGGAATTTGGTAGAAAAATGGAACGACCGGTGTGTATTCGTGTTCTCTCCTTCGCGTTTGCAGAGCGACTGTCCCATTCGAGAGCACACATGAACTCTCAGACAGTTCGGCGCTGCTCTCGGAGAGTCGCCCTCATACGCAGTGTCCGCTCGCGAGAAATACTCTCGAGAGAAACTCGCGATAGCTTCACTCTCAGCTTAATGTTTGGCTCGATGTACCTACGACTTTGACTCGCGTTTCTTATGTTTCACGAGTCTCGCACGATGTTATCCGACTCGGGCCGAGGTTTCTTCGTAGGCAAGCTGAACGTAAACAGCGAGCTGAAATCGGGCAGGACGACTCGTCCTCGGGTAGTGTTTACGAGGCTGCCGAACGAGTGCCTTGTATCGCGCGATTCTAGTCTTGTGTAAAATTCAGTGCTTCCTCGAATAACGCTAATTTCCAATCAATTTGCATACTTTCGTGCCAACTAATTCCCCGCGAATCGCCGCTAAATACGAGAAGCAGTGGCGCAGAATTCAAGTACGCAACGAACAGCCCAATTTTAGAGAAAAATCAAGCGTCCTTGCTAACTACGTAAATACGTAGCTACACTTTCATGGTATGTATATGCGTGAAAAATCTGTACGTGTGTGCGTATACGTACACAATCGAATAACTGAGTTAATCGAAAATGGAGAAAGACTACGTATTGCATTTCGTTTTACCGCATCGTGCGTTTATTTTTCTTGCAATAAGATGTGCTGTAGGTATGAAGCAACAACACTCCCTCTCTATTCCCCCTTCGAGGTTTCCTATTTGGGTGTGAGGCCCCGATACTACATATACATATAAGTTTTATAGTTACGACACGCAGCGTGTATACTTATAAATATACGCACAGGCTTAGAAAAAATATAAATGTACTTCAGTTTTTCGCGAAGGACAAGAAAGTTCGAGGGAGCACTCGGGAGCTTCAAATCTCTTTCCTTCGTTACTTTGCATTGTACATTTAAAAGTAGAACACTAGAAAATGACCCATTAGTAACTCTGGAAAAAAGTGATCGTTCGATACTGGCAGCTATCATCGTTTGCAATGTAAGACTAAGGAATTACAGGCGCTAAAAATTGCTGATTTAAAATAACGTCGGTGGCTATGTGCGATATTGTGTAGGCCGCTGCCCTTTTTCCCGTGTTTATATAGTTCTTCGGCCGTTAGGACCCTGCAGCCTGCGCTCATCCTTGTCTAGGGCCCCCCGCGGCTTGGGTCCCGCGGTCGTCGTCTAGGCGCGTCGCACAGCGCATTACAGTAACTTTTAAAATTTATTTTTCTACGTGTACGCGCCTGTTTATATCGACGTGAATCTAATTTTCCAATTTTCCACGTTTCACTTTTGGAAAGTCGCTAGTGGGTCATTTCCCAGTGTTAAGCTTCCCAAGTGTAGAATGCGAAAGTTGCAAAAAAAAAACGGAGAAAATATCCCTCCAATGCGCACTGGCGATTTAGAAAAGTTTCTTGTGCGTTGAGCGGGTCATTAACGACCCGAGCGTAGGATCTCCACGAAGTGAAACAAAGTGTCTGGAAACACGAACAGTATCGTCTCCATCTAAACTCAAGCATCGAACGTGACTGAAAGTCGAACGCAACGAAAGCGCGCGAGAGATTTACCGTTGACCTTAATTGGTTTCACAGCGAGTAACGCCGCCTCTTAAACAGCTTTAGATTAAGTATAATTCGTCGATGACCGGTTATCAGGGTGCACGTTTCTCGAGACCAGACGTCATCGTATACGCTCTTTCTCCCTCGCCCCACGACCAATCGCGACATGGGAAATTTATTCTTGACCTTAATCGGATTTTCAACGGCCGCCATTCAGGCTGACGAGTCGGCCCACGCGAGGGCAGAGGAAGGTTTTGCTCCGGTGCGTTTTCGAGTGTGGTTCTCTACTTCTCTGTAATCTGATTGCGGCCGCTACACAATTACGCGATTCGTTTATGGCTGGCCAGCGCAGAAGTTGCCGAAGGATCCAATGCCTATCGATCGTGCCGCTTATTATTACCGAGAAGGACGGAATCTCGACGATCGTATTTTGCCCGAAGAAAACTGCGTTCTCCGCTCGAAAACCGTCGTCGACGTGCACTTTCTCCTAGAAGTTCTCTGGAAATTGTAGATAGAAGCGTGGAAAGTGTAATCAGGGTTGAACGAACTCCAACTTTCGAATATTATATGTATATATTGGAGCATGAGTTAGGATTAATGGAATATAAACGGCGCGGTGGTTGCATCGAATAAATTAAACGGTTGTCGCGCGATGGGTTTAGGTAAACGCGCCGCAGCCATGCATAATTCGGCGTAGTTGGGACGGGCCATTTCGCCGCGTGTGAACCGACGATCGCTCGTTATCCTACCTCGTTCCACGATTATCAATCGTTCGACTGGTAATTGGAGCGTGGAACGAAGCTCGAGGGTGCACGAGCTCTCTCCTCCGCCCTGTCGCGAGAATGCGTGAGTCATCGCGTGAAGTGTCGTAGAAAATGTTCGATCGCTCTTCCCTTCGTTTACTTGCTCTCTCCTCCGGGATAGAACGCGAAAGCTTCCGTCTCTTTCCACCAAGCTTTTATTTATCTTCGAAATTAGGGGAGAGAGGGTGTCTTTAAACGTTACGAATTCTTTCAAGCTTCACTTGCACGCGTTAAAGAATGTCGGCATCGATCTCGCTGAAAGGGGGCCAACTTAATCGCGAGCGTTCGCTACGTGAAATTCGATCGATCGACGGCAGGTGTGAAGGCGAGTATCGTTGGTACGCGAATAAACCAAGGATGACGACCACCCTTCGTGAGAAAAGGGAAAAAAAAAACACAGTCTCGAGACAGGAGGAGAGATTAACCGTGGAATCACGCGATTGTGAAATATTTCCCGACGTAGAATTACACGTTTTACAACGACGTACGTAAGAACAAGGTGGGAAAGTGTCACGTCGCGCATTTGGTAAATTGGATCGAACACAGAGCGGCGGGGCTTTTACGTTGAACTCGTTCCGCAGGAGGCACGGTTCCACGAAAAACCCGTTTCTCGAAGAAAGCGACGATTGTGACTCGCGAGAATACAGTCTGCGGAGGAGCGAGAGGACGGTGGAAACACGTAGGCGAACGTGGGATTTAGAAAAATACCCGGGGAATTTCACGGGTCCGAATAAATTGCGAGGGACAGCGGCCGGAAGCGATGCGAGCGACGTCGGGATTCGTTTTATTTCTGTGCGTCGCGTTTTCTAAAGCTTTCCCGGCCGCTGTTTTTCGACGCCGGATGAAACACGAAACTCGTCGACGGTGCCTCCCGCGAGACACAGAATTTTCCTCCGCTGCCGTCTGTTCGAGACAAATGACTTTCGTTTCTACGGTTACAGCCCGCCGGAAGACGCGTTGAAATGTCGAGGAACGGGGGAGCCGTGCCATTCCTACTCCTTCCCCTCTCGTTCCACCGTTCCGCCGCTGTTTCCAGGGGAGAAGGGTCGAATAACGTTGACAATTGATTAGAGATCAGTCTGCCTATGGAGATGCTTCGCTTTCGAACGGATTGCTATGCCGTGTCCACACTGGTCAGAACTGTTCGCGGGCTGCGAGCAGACGTACATAGGTACAGAATTGAGCTCGCGACCAGTCCTTCTGATGTATAGTCGCTGGTCAGAACTGTTCGCGGGCTGCGAGCAGACGTACATAGGTACAGAATTGAGCTCGCGACCAGGCCTTCTGATGTATAGTCGCTGGAAGAAATATAGTCGATACGCTCGAACGTGTAACCTTTTACACCTGACCGATTTTACGACCTCGCTGTGTTTCTTCCATCGACTATACTCACGTACTAAAAGTTGTGAAGTATAGACTGCCTTTACTTCACACTGTCATTGAACGCGGTTCGCGAGCAGAAACAGCTTCGTTTCGACACAGCTCGCGAGCAGAACGCAAACAATTGCAGAGTTGAGCGCGCGAACAGGCTCTCTGAGGTATAGTCGGTGGAAGAAATATAGTCGATACGCTCGAACGTGTAAACTTTTACGCCTGATCGA